CCATTTATCTTTTAAAATTTCTCTCTTTACTGGGCAAGGATTCTACTCCACGAAAATGGAGAACCTGAAGGAGTGCCAGACCAATCTTTTCATTTAGGTTTTAGTCCTCCTGATCCAAAGGCAAGCCAAGCAAAAAACTATAGAGGAATAGAAAAAACTATATATATATATATATAATATTGTGTGTGTGTGTGCTGTGTGTGCCTAATTTCATATAATCACCTTGTAACGGTGAATTAAAGATCAACAGCTACATTCGTCCTGCTAACTGCGATCCTTAATTTTTTCTGCCACACAAGGTAAAAATTTTTCCAAAACCACATAAAATGGTTAAAAATCGGATAGGAGGAGCTGGTTTAGCATTTCAAAGAAACAAGAAAAGAAATCTTAAAACGCATAACAAAGAAGAGAATAAAGATGAAGAGGAAAAACATAAATTCATTACTCATTAGAAAAGGATTTTACAAAGCATATTAAAACAACAAGTTTTTTTTTTTTTTTTTTTTTTTTTTTTTTTTTTTCCTTCTTCTTCTTCTATTCAAACCTGATTGTTCCCTCACAAAAGTATCCCATATGCTTGGTCCTCTGCCATCTATCAGTGCTGCACCTTCGGACTGTTAAAGAAAATACTAGTCAAGAAAATTTCTTTGTTCTTTTTCAAAAGAAAAGAAAGATCATACTTGATAAGCAGAAGAACCGGCTCCAAAAATAAAACCAGGCGGAAAACTGCTTCGGTTGTGTGGCAGCAACCGGCTGCCAATGGTGTAAGTCGGTAAGCTGGCTAGAACTAGATGGACCAAGATGGAGGCTAAAGCACATTTAATTGCCATAGCTCTATTTAGTATAGTAGAAGCTGCGGGATGTTCATTTGGATCTTCTTAGTCTTTCTTATATAAAGAAAGAAAATGGGGAATTCGTTTATGTGCTGAAGTTATTGAGCTGTAGTATTCATCGTTTTTCTAATTTCTTGCAGTGTGATAATAGTGACAGTCAATGCCGTACCAACTTTTTGCTCAGTCCATTCAACAATAATCATAATACATGATCCTCTTGTAAAAAAGTCATTATTTTTAAAAGTAAAATTCAAAAAAAAAAAAAAAAAAAAAATCAAAAAAAAAAAAAAAAAAGAAATTATAAACTTCCACATATTTATTAAGTAATGGAACTCAATAATTAGCAGTTATATTTATAAATAAAAAAAAAAAAAAAAAAAAAGAAATTATAAACTTCACCATATATAATAATGAACTCAATAATTAGCAGTTATATTTTATAAATTGTATTGAAATAAGTTAAGTTACTATTCATGTATCTCAATATAATTTTAAAATTTAATAGCTGATAAGCTCTTTCTTACAAATCGGAGATTATAACGGCAAAATAGATCAGATTGTGTATCCAGCATCTCATTCAATGTGATCCAAAAATACCCACATATGATATAGTATATCTTGACATCAACTCCATCCGTGCCATAACTATTGTGATTTTCCTTCCGAATTTTGGTTTAAATTTGTATAATTATGGATGTTGCATTCATGAAAAAAATAGAATTCTAGTTTGAGATTAATGTGTAAAAATTTAGAAACAAAAATACTAAAAGATGATTGACCAAATATATAAATTTATCTATGTACTGTTTCTAAAAACTTAAAATAATTCCATTGAATGATTTAGTTGCTCATGTCAAGTCAATTATTAATATAATGATCGAACTCTCGGTTTCATTTATAAAAAAAAAGTGTTGAATCACTTATCCTAATACTCGTTAACATAAAAATTAAAATAATATTTTGCAATGTAAAAACCTTTCAATGTTGACTTGGCTTTTCTGATGTGCTAATGTTTTTTTCTTTATTCTTGATTAATTGGTGCTGCATTTTGCTCATTTTTACACCATATGTTTCGTGTTTCCATTTTCTTAATTGGTTAGGTTTATGGTTTTTGTTTTATATGTGGCTTTAATAAGGTCATGAATATTTAATTTGTTCACTTTATTCTTTGTAATAAATCATATCCTATTTTATTAATCTTTAAGTCACATGCTTGAACATTTTGATTTCTTAATTATTTTCTCCATTTCACTTCTATTTATCGATTTCTAAAAATTGTTTTATCATATGCCGTATTAGGTAAATTATTTCTGCTAAATACAATAATTATATTGTTTATAATTCTCTAAAACCTATTTTATCACTTCGCTTAATTATGAAGATCCGAATAATAATTAAGAGGCATTTGTTCAATCACAAGGCAGAATGCCCACATCCCTGTCATCCGTAACAACATTTTATAGGTAATGTAATTAATTATAATTAAGTTTATAAGTAATATATTTTGTACAAGTAGTTAATTAACTGGCCAATGGTTACAAGACAAGGTTATTGTAATAATACTATTATTAATACTCAGCTGATGATAACTGCTACAAGATATGACAAGGTTATTTACTACTCTTCAAGAAGAATATTATATAGTCTTGCATATATAATAACAATTAAGCAAAAACTTAATTAATTATATAATTGTCTTACCATGTTTATAGGTGGGATTTTGTAATTTTCCTAATTTCAATTATATCTACGTATACGAAATATTTTTCTAGCATAAATAAACTTAATTACCAGAAAAAGTGGTTTGACTACAGAGCTCCAACTTTATTGGCATTGGTAATAGGATTGTTTGCAACAAAATATGTGGTATAGTAATTTACTCCCAAGAAATCAAGAGACCCTTTTGGCATATCAGATTGTCGTTTAGCAAATTTAGGCAGTCGTTCTCCCACTAAAGATTTCATTACTTCTGGATAATCACCATATGTGACTGGATGAGCAAACCTACACAAAATTTTCAGGATCAGCAAATTATAAATAATATAATTTAAAATACTAATTATGAAACTTACCAACCAAAAAGAAAATCAATCTCTCTCATGGCTGCTTTCTGGTCTGCTACTGATGATGGTGACTCTGGTATAAACCAATGGGTCACTATAGTTACCCCAATTTGTCCTTTTTGAATAGCTTGCACTTCTTAATAACATTCATTATTTCACAATCTGCTCAATAATTAAAAAGGAATATTGTTTTAAGGCTTAATCACCAAAAAAAGTCCGACTCTTTTAATCAATCAATATCCTGTATGTTTTTTTATTGTCAACTATGTCATCCGTTAGAATCCAATTAGGTGTGTCGAGTGATACAATTTTGGGGCAAATAAACCTACTTTGTAGACTTTAGGATCACTGATGGTGCAATTGCGAGTTGCTCCACATTAAATTCTTCCAAGCTTGTGATCAGATGAAAAGAAGATTGTCTCAACAAAACAATCTCCCAACTTACAAATTTTGAAAGCAAGGATGAATGGCCAAAGAATAACTAGTGATTTGACGTATTGTGGAGCAATTAATGACAAAATAAGCAATAAGCTGATAGACTCTGAACGAAGGTCGTAATTGAAAAGAAAAAAAATGTCTAAAGTGGTAATTGATAAAATTCAAAAATATTGACTAAATTTTTCCAAAGTGTCAAAATTCGGGCTTTTTTTTTTTTTTTTATAATGATTTAGCCTTATTTTAAAATACAAACCTGATATTTTTGCTACTACAATCTAACAGCAGTAGCATGAGAAAGAAGCAAGTGATGGGCAACAAGATATGGCTCTCTAGAAGAGTCACCAACAGTGCAATTCCCCATGTATTTAGAGCATCGACCAGGGGCGAATGTACCTCCATTGTACCCATTTATGCTATAAGAATATGGCTAGTTTAATGTGCACCGGTCCTTCACCCGATCACCAAATGTTTTCTTTGTCAAGAATATAATTAATAAAAAAAAAAAAAAATCAAATCAGTCAATCAGGTGGTGTAGCCCATTATATTATTTTGGCTAATTAGAAGGATCAATTCAGAATACATATTCGCTTATGTTTAATTAGTATATCTCTTATAAAGTGATTAACTCCGATAATATTATACCTTACGCGGATGGTAAAAATCATCAGCTACATCTCTAGTGCTATGATCCCAAATTTTTTCTGCCAAGCCATCAATATATATTTATTATTTTAATTCAAAATACATGAAAATAAAATTTTTGTATGTATGTGTTAAAAAATTAATACTTCAACCTAATTGAAAACACGTGAGAAGAAAATTTTTGTATTTATGTGTTAAAAAAGTAATTCTTCAAATCAAAGTGAGAGAAGAGAGAGAGACCAGGATGCTCCTTTGTAAAGGAATCCCAAATATTTAGTACCTTGCCATCAACATGGGCAGCTCCTTTAGACTTGAAATGCAAGCAAATGAATAGGTTAACCTTACATGTATTTATCCAAATAAATTGTTGTACAAACTCTGTTCAGCAAAATTAACTATTTTAGTAATTGTTAGCTGTTTAACTAGCAGTTCAAACGTTAAAGAGAGTAACTTTTCAGGATTTGCTCATTTAAACTCTAGATACTAATATAAATATTATGCTATCAAACAATACAAATAATAAACATAGCGTTTTGACTCACCTACTAAGCAGCTGAACTAGCTCCAAATACGAAATCAGATGGAAAACTGTGTTGGGATTATAACTGATCCCGAGTGGGCGCGGAAAAATGCCGGTGGTAGAAGTAAAATAAAATTACCGACGATAAAAGTTAATAACACCGATAAAAATTTAAATTACTATTACCACATTAAAAATGCCGGTGTAGAAGTAAAATAAAAATTACACGATATAAAAAGGTTAATAACACCGATAAAAATTTAAATTACTATACCACATTTTTACCATCAATAAAATTACGTATTGGATATTGACGAACTGAATCCACCGAAATAATAATCACGGTAAAATTTAAATAACCTACTGTAAATGTCATAATGAAAAATAGGGACACCGAGATTTACTGGTTCACCCTTTTAACTGTCTGCATGGGCTTACTGTCCACGAGACCAAAACTCCGAATATCTTCCACTATATTAAAAAATTAGTAGGTACAAAAAGAGATTACAAAAATAGTGGCACTCTAAGTGTTTTCCAAAAATACCCAAAAAAAATTATAACTCACTAATTTCTCTCTTTCCCAATTTTTAGGAACCCTATTCCTAAAATTTTTCTCTCACTACCTTATATGTGTAGACTTAACTGTGTAGACTTCTTCGTTTTGTTTTGTTCGATTTGTTGAGGGAAAACTTCTCCTATTTATAGGAGAAGAGGATGCGTTAATCAACGCGTCCATCGACTGCACGCAATTAACGCATCCATCTTCGCGCAACCTTCTTTGAACAAAGAAAAAAAACGTTTCTTTCCCCCTTTTTTTTTCTTTCTTCAAACTTGTGTGTGTCCCACATGTCGGAGGGATCCACAACAATTCTCCCTCTCCCGACTACATGGTGGGACTCTCCATTCCTACCGCTTTGACACACAGTTCGAACTTCTCCTTCGGAACAACCTTTGTCCTTCTCCTTCGGAACAACCTTTGTCAATATATCCGCAGCATTTTTGTCTGTATGAATCTTTCATAATTAGAACTGCTTCTCTTCAATGGCAGATCTAAACCAATGATATCTTACATCAATATGCTTCGTTCGTGCATGATATATAGTATTTTTACTCAAGTCTAACGCACTTTGTGTTACATGAACTCAAATCTAAATTCCAGTTTACAAAATTAAAGGTTGCAAAATTCATGCTACATGAATCTTTTATGTTACATGAACTCTAAAACTATATAATTTTTATTTAAAAAAAATTCTGAGTATATAAAAATTATATTTAATTTATATAATTTTAATTTCTTTAATTTAAAAATATTTTTAAAAATAATGAGATGTCATGTATATATAATATAATTTCAATTACATAAATACATTATAAATGTTTTAACAATCAGACAAGTTAAAAAATTATTATTGTTTTGTAATTTTAAATGGTTTATTTATTAGATAATTATTTACTTTTGAAATTTTTATTTTTTATACTTGTGTTGAAAAGAGTTTTTTTTTTCAATTTACAATATTAAATAGTAACTTATATATTTAATAATAGAAAAAAGGAATGTATCCCACTTGTTGATGACCTATTCTACAGTTTTTTTTTTTTTTTTTTTTTTTTTTTTTTTTTTTTTTTTTTTTTTTTGACCATTTTGACCTAATTCTCAGTTAGTTAAGTTCATTTGATCAATTTGTATAAAATGATCATATTCCGAAAATCAATGCCGTGTTAAAAAACAGCTTAGGTATAGATGAATACCAATAATATCGAGTTATCAATATTAAAACTAATTTGCATCAAAAACCGAAAAAATGATTTGTGTTTTTTTTTTTTTTTTTTTTTTTTTTTGACATTTGACCTATTCTACAGTTAGTAAGTCATTTGATCAATTTTATAAATGATCATATTCCGAAATCATATGCCGCGTTAAAAAAACAGCTAGTATAGATGATACCAATATATCGATTATCAATATTAAAACTAATTTGCATCAAAACCACAAAAATGATTTGTGTTTAGGTGAAAATTCTTTTGATTATTTAAATATTTTTTATTGAAACCATTTTTTAATCCAGTAAATTCTTAACAAAATAATATTCGTTTCATGCAAATGAAACTACAAGTTAATAAATAACATAATCGCTTTATAAAATTCTTTCGCATTTTTTTTAGAAAAAAAGCTTGAAGATTAATGGCTAACGACAAAAAAGAAATGCTTTGAAATTTAATAATTTTATCATAAATTTCTTTTTTTTTTTTTAAGAAGAAACGAATGAATCCACCATAATAAGAACAGAAATAGAAATTGGAACCTCTTCAATCCAGATTGAAACATCTAAAAAAGAGAAAGTTAACTTAGAGAGAGCATGAGATACCTCATTGCCTTTACGAGGAGTATGAGAGCATCTCCACTCAGAAACATTCTGAAGCAAGTTGTGCAAAGAAAAGAGACGAGTCCCATATTCGGTTTATGGAAAAATAGCAGATATCAACATTTGCAGTAGCTGCAGCCCATCAGACTCAAGTTCTAATGCAGATTCAATTCTACCATCAATCCAATCTTAGGCAAAAAAACTTTTTAGTAGAAAAATCAAATATGAATTTGCTAATACGCAAGTGGAAATGTAAATATTCCAATTTAGAAACTCAAAATTTTTGTGTAAATAACTTAAAATAATAAATTGAAAAAACATAATAACTAATGTCTACAGCTGGAGAGAAGACAAGATGTGTATTTATTGGTGTCCTTTGAAAAAATACTGTAATAATAAATTACAAACATTAAGCGTTACAAATTTAAAAACAAGAAAAAAAAAATGCCTTAATAGGCAATTTTTTCATGTACTTTGTAACATTTTGCAATTTTACCCCCCTGCTTTTATCCTTAAGCTAACCAAAATGAATTAGCTTAAGAATGCAGTACCCACTGGTTTTAACTCAAAATGCTTTCAGGAAAAAGCTGCAACTAAGTTTCGCATTTTAGAGCTAAATAGCTAAAAAGGGCATAGGATAGAATTCAATTAATCACAAAGTTCAAGGTAAAAATTTACAATTAGGCAAAAAATGTAGGCTTTTTTTCTTTCTTTCTTTCTTTTATGTGGTCATTTGCCAGATTTCGCACCAAGGGGAAAAAAAACCTGAACTCAAGTTTATTTCACGTTGTTTGAAACTGAATTATTATTAAAAAACACTATTAGAAATATTATTAAAGGTTATAAAAGTTTTAGTCTCTAATCAAATACTTCTGAATTATTTTTCATCTACTAATTTTTCAAAAAAGAAACAAGGATTAGCTTGTTCAATACTGAATTAATTTATAGAAAAAATCAAAAAATATTTATAACTTGACACTTTGTATTATATGTGTGTATGTGTATGATTTAATTTACTACAATGTTTATGATAGAAACATTCAGACTAACTTGCAAGAAACTAAAATATAATGAGGTGTAAGTATTAGAAATTAAACAGTAACTAAAAATTTAGTCTCATACATCAAAAATAAAATGTCAAATCATGAATAAATCTTAAAGACTAATGTAACTTATTTTAAAACAGTAAGCCTGAAAATTGATATTAGGCCAAACTTCAAGATATTCTTAGTAATTTACCATTTATCTGAGGACCTAAACCGTAAAAAGTCTCCCAAGAAAGCCAACACCTTAGCTCACTTTGACCATGTTATGCTACAATAAATTTAGGGACCAATAGCTCACTCCAATTGATCTCTAGCAATCCCTCAAGTGTCTTTTAATTGTTTTTTGCCAATGCATGCACTGAAAGGCTACTTGCACAACTTACCCCGCCCACAAATTTCAGCAGTTACTTGTTCTGATTCTACATATAGATCATTTTGAACTAAAGGGAACCTTTTGGTGGAATTGTATTAATCATGATAAGCAATTTTGATTTGATGAAGAAAAAGAATTGAAAATTTTATTTCAGTAAAAATAAAAAATTACTGAAAATCATCATCATGTTGTATAGTATTAGTATGAGGGGATAAGCTTTTCAATGGCAATTGACTTGCAAAAGATAGTTTGGATTTGAGTGCTGCATTTGCTGCTCCATCCAAAGAAGTTCTTGCTCGTTTTACAGCTGCCCTTTGTGAAATCTTAAAAGGGGCAGATAATGAAACTCTCACAGAATCTCCGCTGAGGGAAACAGATTGTGGTGGTTGCTTGTGTTGGAACATTAACTTGGAATTTTTGTCAAGATTTTCCTTATTGAGTTGGTTCTTGTTTCCTTGTATCTCCTGCATCTTTGGACTGGCTGTTGATTCAATAGGTACAAGCTTCCCATCTACCTGGTTTGTAAAAACAAACGTGACCTGCAATGGCATTTTTAGATAAATAACAATAGTTACTGCATTTCTATTTCCCGAAACGGGTCAATTGAAACATACAGCGACTTACGTCATAATTTAGCTCTTTTTTAATCAACAGAATGGGATGTAAGAAGAAAATGAAAATAATACAAACTTTTGTTACAAGAGTATGTGCCCTTATTCCTTTAGCTAGCATGAATTAATTTAACGTATAGAATTTATTTACAAAGTTATATCTAATTCTGTAAAATCCAATTCATGGGAGTAAAATGAACATTTTTATTCATAGAAAATTGGAAACATGAAACTCCAAAGTATAAAATTGTTTAAAATCCATTTTATACCAAAACAAAGCCTTACATTCACAAATTTTCCGCCTCATTGAGAGGAGACGCTTCACTCGTTTTTTCAGTATTTTCTGCAGCAGGTTTATCCTTTTTAACTTGATCAGGTTTTTGTAAAAGAATTCATCAGGCTGTAAAAAGATTCTTTTGAAAAGGAAAAAAAAAATTGCTAATGAACTTTCCCATCTTCCCTGGTCACTATAAAGATAATCAAACAAAACAAAGAACTCCAAACGTTGTTACCTCATCACCAGCTGAAGCTTGAAGTATAGCATCTGGCACTGTTGAGGAGTGAAAATGGTGTCCCCAGCTACCCAAATCCTCTTCCAGTGGAGTCCCCACCTGAAAATTGAGTGTCAAATAGAAGTTCAAAAACAAATCAGACACTCGAAACAACTGTATATCCTGTTGCTAGTTGTTGACTGACCTGCTTCTCTGAATTCTTTAACTCGTGCAAAATTCCAGAAATTCCTGCAAATCCACCAATATCAAACACCTCGTGGTCAGACTGACTCCCACCTATTGATTCTTCTGCCTCCGTTAAATTCCCAACACCATCATCACGAAATAGGCAGCGAGGACAATTCATCTTTTCATGTATTTCAGACCTAGATATATAATTAGAAACAAAAATTTGTGAGGATGGAGAATTAAGATACAAGTCCAAGCTTACTGGTGTATGCAGCCAAAATGTGATACAAAAGGACACATAATGTGCTACTGTAGTCATAAATGCCATGCAGTGATCCATGACCAGTAATTTTTATGCAACCATGTTGATTTGAAGACAAATTGCTTCATTCAAGCATACAGAGAAATCACAGCAATTCATCGTCTAAATAAATTAAAGTAAATAAATAAATAAATAAATTTATGGAATTACTAAAAAATTTAGATACACAAGTCTATATATCAAAATCAAAATAGATTTGGAATATTACAGTATCATGAAAACAATATAGCATACATGTGTTTGAAGTGCTGATAATTTTTTTTTTTCTTTATACATATATTGTAGATCACCAATGGGTCACGTATTTAATCTGAGCTACAATGGTAAAGTCTTCCTTCAATCTCTGATGCTCACCAAATTAAAAACTATCAAAATTTTCATCTGTTAAACATTTCCTCATCTCAATAATTTAAAATATCATGATAAAACAAATTATTATGAAATATTGATAAAAGCTTTTGATATATTGATATATAATAAAAATTTCTAAAAATAGATGTACATGGTATTGTATCAAGACCCTCCAAAAACAGATATTTTGCTCAACATTGAAATGATATGTCGATACTAAAGTCTATTAACTTCTTTAATGATGAGTACATTTTCAATAGCTTGTCTTCGCTTAAAGGGACAACGTAAATATACAATGTTCACTTCTCAACTAATGCTTGATTCACTGCAAATGATTTTCTTTTCATCTTTCTATTTCCTGGTTGTCCTAGTACAGAGTTATTACACTTCCTAGTTTATATATCTTTAATTAATACCATATATTCTGCAAACCTGATAAAAAAAAATGCAAGAAAAATACACATCTTGCTAATAAATTTCATGAAAACTATGTTACATAAATATATATAGTACAGAGTTATACCACTTCCAGTTTAATATATTCTTTTAATTTAATTACCATATTTCATGGCAACCTGATAAAAAAATGCAAGAAAAATACACATCTTGCTAATAAATTTCATGGAAAAACTATGTTAATAAATATATATATAATATAAAATATATATATAAATGTATTCTTCTCTATAGGTTTTTACCAGAAGTGGGTAATCACAAAAAACGACATTTTATTATAACTCCCCAATGGATCAATAAATTTTGCACTTTTATTAATCATTGACATATATTTCCAAATTTTGGGAGGCATAAATTTACCTAGCATTGCCATGAAATGTAAAACAGATCTCGTAAATCTTCTGTTGAAAGAAAGTTTCCCTTGGAAATTCAACCATATTAATGCTAATATATAGGTTTGAACACTAATCATATCTAGCATACAAACCCACACATTAAAAAAACCTTGCCACAGGCTATCATTTTTGCTGGTGTTGAAAACTTTTTGAAGTCCTTCTTTTGACATTTTGACGCTGTTATATATATATAATAGTATTCTCTCTATAGTTTTTACCATGAAGTGGGTAATCACAAAAACGACATTTTATTATAACTTCCCAATGGATCAATAAATTGCACTTTATAATCATGACATATATTTCAATTTTGGGAGCATAAATTACCTAGCATTGCCATGAAATGTAAACAGATCTCGTAAATCTTCTGTTGAAAGAAAGTTTCCCTGAAATTCAACCATATTAATGCTACATATATAGGTATGAACACTAATCATATCTAGCATACAACACACATTAAAAAAAACCTGTGCCACAAGGCTATCATTTTGCTGGTGTTGAATAACTTTTTGAAGTCCTTCTTTTGACATTTGACGCTGGTAAACCTACAAAAATTTAGAGAAATGTCAATGTACATATTGTCACTTGCCTTTTTGAAAGATCAAGCAAGAAGAGAATGGAATCTAGTGGCCACATCAACTCAGTTGCTGCTTAGCAAACCTTTTCTTCAATTGTTCCAGTACTCAGAAACCGGTAGATGTATACTCTCTTCTTCTGTCCATCCCTCCAAACTCTAGCAGCAGCCTAATTATGGAAGTTGACAGAGTTGCATGATAAATCAGAACTCATGGAGATCAATATGGCTCTTAAACTCAAGGAAGTTGTACATGAGGGACTATTCTAATTAATTACCTGTTTGTCATTGGCTGGATTCCAGTCAGGATCAAATAAGACAAGTCGATTACCACCAATTAGATTAAGGCCGCAACCACCAGCTTTACTGCTTAACAGAAATACAAACTCGTCCTGCAGTATGAGGAGTTGAAATAGCTTTTTAATTGAACTGAATCACTGACACCACACCCTTTCTCACCCACTAACAACTTCAGAAAAAAGAAGTCAGATCTGCAAATATGTAATCAATAAGCAGTCAATACCTTTGATGGATCATTGAAGCGATTAACTAGCTTCTGTCTTTTACCAATTGATGTGGTTCCATCAAGCCTTAAGTGCGGATATCTTCTTTCTCGGCATAATTGAGCAAAAAGGTCCAAGGTCTGATGACCAAAAGCCATTTTACATTGTGAGGAAACAATAGCCAAACCTCACGCCCTCCACTAAGAAAGTTGTGAATAAATGCTAAATGAAACGATTTCAGTTGCAAATAATTGTGAATGATGCAAGGGCTGATTCTTAGTCTCTGTTTGTTTTCCAAAAAAGAAAAAAACTCATCTAAAAAAAAATGTGAAAAGGCATTTTCTGAAAAAATAAATTTATTTTCTATAGTTATAAATACTGAAAAGCAACTAGAAGTTATTATTCTAACATTTGCGACACATTGAAATGATAAGCGTCTTTCAATATTCAAGACTACAAAATATGAGAAAAATTTCACAAAAAGTAGAGAATTAAAGATTTCACCATAAGTGGTAAACTTTGGTGGTTGTATTCTCAGTGGTTAGGGGTGGCCATTGGTGGCTAGTAATGGCTATAAAAGATCAGAAGTGGTTGGTAAATTAATAAGTTCATGCTTCTATTATTATCTAAATTCCTTTACTTTTTATGTTTAATAAAACTTTCCTTGAAATGACAATTTTCACTATGAAAACTTCAATTTAGCCTTATCGTCTGCACCACTAAAACAAATTAACAGTTCTTCCACAACAGCATATTTTAGAGCGGTGAGTCTAGAAAGCACCAGCCATTTCAATATTCAAAAGGAAACAGAAGAATTTTTTATCCATAGATTTACTTTTGAAAACAATGATTAGCAAGAACCATAATGTAAAACTACCTGAGTATAATTTGAAACAAGAACTATTCGATCATCAGTCCGTTGGCGTAAATGGGCCAGTAATCGAGCCAAAACATGCATTTTACCAGAAAGTTCAACCCACGCTCCGTCACCACCACTCCATGTACCAGATCTAGCAATAAAAGTGGAAAAGAAAGCAAGTAAGAAATAAAGAAGAAAAAGAAAAGCTGTAAGAATGTGCATAAAGAAGAGGATAGAAATACATAAAACATGACATAAATGCTTACCTCCCAGAGAACATCTCTTGAGGGAAAAAGCGTATGCAGTCCTCAAACCCTGAAGTTCCTGGACTTCCATTTTTAATGGTATCATATATGAGCTGCATAGGTAATCTATCTAATATGAGAAAGGACTATGAGCTCATACACAGATTAGAAATCAAATAGAAGGATCAAAACATTTCAGGAAAAACAAAAGAAAACTAAAAACAGCCATGCACAGACAAAATTAGCAAATAAATGAAGAAAAGACTAAATTTGTAATCTTAGGTTTAAATAGCTTAACCATGAATTTAGGTGGCTCACGGTTAATATTTTGTGATTCACTGTCCTAAGATTGCATAACCATCAACCCTCTCTTCCAGATCCTCACTTCTACGGGGCAGCAGAGGGGAATCTTGGACAATGGGCGAAAGCCCGATCGTACTTTTGAATTCTCCCAGTTTCAAAACAAAATAAGGATGTGAACTCAATTCCATTCAAAAGAAGAAAGCGTGTTAGAAATAATGAATGCAGTCCGTCACTCACAATATTAGGCAGCTATCTGAACTGCAATTTAACAAATTATTTTATGCTGCACTTAATGTTCACTTCTATTTTTCATCATCTATATTAACAGTAGCAATATTATGCATTGATCATAACATAATTGCGACTCAATAATTTATCAAATGGTACATTTCCCTACTGCATAAAGTGAATAAGGATTTTGGAAATTGAATACCAAAAGCTTAGTGTTTCCTGTATCTGCAGCCTTAACATTGATATTAGGAAACATATGCCTGTGCACAAGGCTTCTCATATTAGGTACTATTGAAAAGGACAAAAACACAGCCTTCCCAAGCACTATATCTATGCAAATTCTTCAATTAAAATGGAGAAACTTTGTTTTAACAAAAACACCTGTACGCTCATGAATTATTTACCAAGCTTTCCTCGGGGAATCCCACGATTGAGTTCAATATTATCTAAAAAGTAAATAAAGAAATAAAAAAGAATGTTCTTAATAGCATCAGTTCTGACAAAAAAAAAAAAAAAAGTCCTTTCATGTCAAAAACATCAGATGCCAAAGGAATCTTAGCATTTTGAAAGGTGCATACCCCACTTTCATTCCAAAATGAGTAAGGCTGCTTGCCAAAACTTATGTCAGATTAAAATATATTCACACGGATAGAAGCCAGTTAATTCATCACTTTCACTGTGTGCGCCATGCACACCTATGTACACATAAAAGCATATTACAAGGAGAGCATAAAAAGATATTACGAGGAGAGCACTTTAGCCAATGCAAGAAAAGCTATAAGTTCCGCTTAACTTTCATAGAATTAGGTCAAAGCAAAATCCCAAGACAATTAACTCTTGTAAGTTCTTTTATACCTTTGGATGGTTGCAGAGCTTCTTAAGAGCAGTAATATAAGCCAAAATTTTTGACTGCTTTGCTTCTTCACTGATTGCTCGTTTAACCTATTTATGGAATTGTGACAAAACAAATGGGTTAATTGCCGACATTCATGTCATAAACCACCAAATTCCAAAGTACATAATTAAATTGTATTATCTAAAATAAGAGCACAAACCCACATTTTTGGAATGTATGAAATGGTTATATAGATCTGTTTGGAGAGGAGTCAATTTGCAACAGATCACTTCAACAATCTGCAAGGGAGGCATCATTTAGAATATCAAAATATCAATTTTTTAACATAATCACAGTTTATATGCGCCATACTGCTATAAAGTGATGCAAATGTGACATGCCCTCCTTCCCCACCCTCCACAAAAAAAAAAAGCATAAATGAATTTAGCAAAATTTGGTGGAATTCAATTGAAATATCATATTTTGATGTATGCTATGTAAAAGACCATAATTTCAATTTTACGAATTTAATAGAAAGCAATTTCCATCAAGTTGGTGGATTTTCAAATGAATTCCGCAGAACTTATACAACAAAAATTTTGGACTGAAATGCTCTCTCTCTCTCATTTCCCCACCCCCACCCTTCCCTTTTCTCTTTCATTTCCTCCTCTTTCTCTCTCCCCCTCGTTTATCTCTTGCTCTTTATCTTTCTTTCTCATCGTTTCCTCTCCTCCTCTCTCCTTTTTCCTCTCTCTCTCTCTCTCTCTCTTCCCATTTCCCTCTTTCTATCTCTATCTCTATCTCTCTTTAAGGGTATTTTACACAATTATCAGATATTTAATTGAGTTCTAGATTTATTAGTAGATTATTCAGAATTGATTTCAATTCAGTTCCTCAATTTAAGTTTATCATTACATGGAAATTCAAATAAATTCTAGATTTTACATTCATTTTTACCAAATGGTGTAAAAGATCAACTCTCAAGAAAAATAATTTGACAAGAAAATAAAGCAAGAACACTAATTCAAAAACAATATGATTTGCTGTGAAAATAGGAGCACAGCTTAAATGATCATTTCAATGACCAAGCTTGTCCCAATCTAGCAATGAACAGTTGGCAAATCTAGAAGATCATTTCAAGAAACTAAGCACAGCTTAAATGATGGAGTTAAAGCTTGTCACCGTCCAGCAATGAACAGTTGGCATATCTAGAAGATTATTTTACGGAACTCATTGTTGAGTTGCAAAAGTAAGGAGCTTTTGAAATGGCATATCACATTATTGTTACCAAAGATATGAACTTTTAAAAAGAACATTGTTACATTGCTTAACCAGTGTTGCTAAAAGCAGCATACACAATAAGCGCAAAACACTATTGGAACCAAGGTCTCTTGGGCTCATGAAGCTTTCACAAGGAAGAAGATAGTGGCATTTAACAAAAGGTACCACAAGATCACGAGATCCATACCTTTGGTGGCAGGTGATTTGATAGTAATGCATTGGTCCTTCTCAAGATGAACTGAAATAATTTTTAGCTAGATATGAGAAAGAGTAAAAGCAATTCTTATTGTTTTAAAAAAATAAAAACTAGCCAGACATGTTTTATATGAACAATTACTACCGCTGCATAATTTGAAGTCACAATTAGCAGACAACAGTGACATGATTCAGCTTTTGCAAATTGCATCTGCATTTCTAAGCGAATTACCTGATTCACTTTTGCACTTAATTCTCCAGAGCGCTCTACACCTAACTTTTTCTCTTCTTCTGTGGCAGTTGGTTCTCTTCCGCAAATAATTGGCGTCTTCATATTTTATAAGGAACAAAACTTAGAAACAGAAAAGGCATATATAATTGCTTGTTGCTTAAAAACAAACGTTAAGATCATAAACAAATCATGTGAAAGAAAGATGCATTCGACCAATTCATATCCCGAAGAAAAATGTACCATCTCATTTCTGACTGCTGTGTTCTATGGCAAATAACTAGAACATAAAAGGCTATCTTAGTTTATGCCCCATAGTCAAATATAAGCCTCCAATATTCTATAAATGATGTCTCATGCCTCACTAGTAAATGAGAAGTTAAAATTACATCAAATGTTAAAATATAATATATGAATTTTATAAGTTGAAACAGCATTTTCTTAGATCAGTTCAGAATCAATGTGAATCTCTAATACTACAGAATAAAATCAGTCAATAAAAGAATACAGCAGATTATAAGCTTTATTCCCCCTACGCCACAGAACAAATTAATCACCACATGGTTACCACTGTCCAATGTATCCATCAGGCATACTAGTAAAAGCGTTTAGCAAAGCGAATATGACGGCTTTCTTTATACAGATTGTAGAGGAAACATTAATGAAAGACTGGCCTTCAAATCATCTAAATACTCCTGGGATTAAAACACCTTTCTAAAAAGTACCTATATTCAATGAGCTTTGCCAATGCAGAAGGAAAAACTCAAGATAGATATATCTATCTATTGTTACCAAACTCACTGCCAACGACCATATAGGGTTTTCTCAGTTCAAGAGTAATTTTACATTTTGTTTTGCTAAGAACACTTGAACAAACGCCATTCGATAAGACAACTTTTCTCTATATGACGAAATTGGGAACACTGGAAAATTGTGCATTTATATATTCAACAATGATCTAGTCTGTCCTTCCAATATACTCAACAGTTTATATATACATGAACAAATAGTGTCAGATATGCAACAGATAAGCAAAGTTTCTTGTTGAGCATTGGTGCTTGTGCAATGCAAGTCCATTTATATTTCCCACATAATTCTCTATCAACACTGTAACTCATCTCAAACAGAACTAGATATAGGAAAGGTAACCAGAAAATCACCAAGATTAATCATCAGAAGGGAAACGAAACGAAATAAGGCGTTTTCAAATCCAAGTTCGACTCTGTACTTAGCAAGTGAAATAAAGAAAGAAAATTGCAATGGATTTCAGAAGCAGACCAGATTAGAGAACATGGTTACCAAGAATGACAGAAGAGAAATATCTTTAGATCAACAGAGCACAAGAGGGACCTAATTGTTCTTATGAAAGAGAGCTAACTGCTCTGATTAGTGAAAAAAACAAAAGAAAAAGAAATACTGCTGATGGTAATCACAATTGACGTTACAAACTTTGATATTGTGACACTATTATTGGAGTAACCTTTCTCCATATGACAAAATATGAGTCTTGGAAAACACAACATAACTGTAACTATAAATATATTAATTAGAATGGCTTAACCTACCTTCCAGGATATATTTACTTGGCTCATGTATATGTACATGTACATTAACAAATAAAGTTGACAGGAAAACAGAAGAACTTGTAGTCGTAGATATCACTTAATGCAAAAGTTGCATAGCACAAATCTCAAATATCAGAATTTTAGCAAAATGGAATAACTCCCGTTACGAATTAATTTTCTTTTTTTTTTTTTTTTCAGGCAAGTAAAATAGCTTAATCAATAATAATAAATGCATAAATAAGGCACTGATATACATTTGTCTGATGGATATCAGCTAGTTCATAAAAGCTATAGGAGTGCGTAATGTTAAATCTCACTATTATATGGACCAGAAGCCTATATACTGCAAGCTTCTAGATAATCTCTGCTTTATAAAGACAAACGAGAGACCAATTTAAACAAACAATGCCAACACTGTTAAATATAATTCAATCTCAGAGATAAGGAATATATGATTAGATTGCAAATAGAGCTCACCTCATAATAGCGACGAAAATATGCAGCATCACCCAAAATTCCTGGATTAGTAAAGTTTACCATTGCAAAGAACTCTTCTAGGTCGTTCTGCAAGGTTAGGAATGGAGAGTATTATTAAGAGTAACAAAAACTGCAGTTTCAAACTACAGTGAGATATCTATTGAATGAATGATTCACACCTGCATTGGAGTTCCTGACAACAAAATGCGGCGCTTGCAGGAGAGAGCAGCCAAAGCCTATGCCAGAGAAATGTTCATGTATACATTCAGAGAAAGAACAATAAAGTTACGTGTGAAAATAAACACATAACAAGGATAATACGTCATTTACCCGATTTGTTATTGTCTGGTCATTTTTGAGCCTGTGAGCCTCATCACAGATAAGGAGGTCGCAAGATTCACTATGGTTAAATTTTGATGAATGCAACCGGAAAGTCTCGTATGAAACAATCAAAACCTAGGGGGATTCCTCGAATTAGAACATATTTCCCAGAAAAATGCAGATTAATAGTCAATATTTCTACCTGCAAAATGCTTTGAGGACTTGTGAAGTTGTCAATTCCAGAGACAACATCATCTCTAGTGCTTTCACATAGTGCTATGAGCTTAACTCTTTCTCCTACCCATTTTTCGATTTCAGCCTCCCAATTACTCACAAGACTCGTTGGAGTAACAATGATGGCTTTTTTAACCATAGGCTTTCCATCAAACCCTTGACCAAGAAGAGTGTATAGCAACGTGATTGATTGCAATGTCTTTCCCAAACTGGAAAAGAAAGCAAAACACCAATTTTTTTTTTTAAAAAAAAAAAAAAAAAAAAAAAAAATCAATTCCAGAGACACAATCATCTCTAGTGCTTTCACATAAGTTTGCTATTGGAGCTTAACTTCTCTTTCTTTCCTACCCATTTTTCGAAATTTCCAGCCTCCCAATTACTCCACAAACTCGGTTTGGAGTAACAATGATGGGCCTTTTTTAACCACTTAAGGCTTTTCCAGTCAAAACCCCTCTCCCAAGAAGAGTGTATAGCAACGTGATTTTGAATTTGCAATGTTCTTTCCCACACTGGGAAAAAAAAGGAAACAAAAACACCCCAAATTTTTTTTTTTTAAAAAAAAAAAAAAAAAAAAAAAAAAAATTGCTTTTTAGCTAATAAAAGATTGAGATGTTACCCCATGTCATCGGGGCCAAAATACATCCATTAAATTTTTTTTTTAAAAAAAAAAAAAAAAAAAAAAAAAATTGCTTTTTGAGCTAATAAAAGATGAGATGTTTACCCCATGTCATCGGCCAAAATACATCCATTAATATCGGTATCACGATATACTCCTGAAACGCAATCGAACATGAACTGAACCCCTTCCCTGCAACAAGGTTAACAAAAGATTTTACTACAGCAAAAGGGGAAAATAGAAAACTTTCATTTTAAACTAGCCTGGACACATAAATTGGAATGAGAATACTTCCATTACAAAGATTTATATGAGACACCCCACAATTCCAGAACTAATTTAGATTTCATATTATGTTAATACCTTTGATGGGGTCGAAGGAACTGAACAAGCAACGGATCTACCACTATTGGTGCTAAATTACCAGCTCCATCTTCAGGCTGCCACAATACTAAAGGATCTATTCCAGGTGGCAAACTCACACTTTCCTCCACTACATCTTTCCCAATGATATTTGATGCATTTAGTCTATTAGTTATTGCCACCAAAACTGGTCTCGAAGAACCCCATGGAACAAATCGTTTCCTGGCCGAAAGTCGACGCGTGAGCTTTTCATTTCCATCTTTATATCCATTGGCACATGGGGGTTTAAAGGGTTTCCTACAAATGGCCGCTCCTCCTGTTACTGAAAGAACTCGGGGCAGTAATGATTGTCTCCTTACAACAAGATTGCCTCTGGTGAATCACAGTCATAACATTCAGCATCATAAACAAATTCCATTCAAGCAAACTATTTGCTTGGTGAAAACCATAACTGAGAACTCAGTACTGCTGATCCTAATTGACAACTACACATTTTAAGAACAATGGTGTGAATGAGAAACCCTATACTAAAATAAAGCAAATTACAGGTCTATAGCCAATCGCAAACATTAACTTGTTAATAGTTAAAATAACAGACAGAATTTGCATTCGAATGTGAGGCTGAATTGCTTGTCTATTAAAAAATTTTGATCACATGGAAACTCAAGAATCAAAAACCTCCAGGCTCCAACAACTGAGATTTGTCAAATCCTTTCGATTTCCCAACTTGTGAAGCGACCTAAGCTTCCCATCTTCCAAGCAACAAAAAGCAAAAGGGATAAAAAAGGAACTCACAATTACTTAACTAAAACATATAATAGAAGCCTGAAATCAGCTAAAATGTCAAACCCTAGGTCTTACAAACAGCGCTTGTCAATGTAACTTGGGCATTTTATCGATAAATTGAAAGTACCTCACGAGAGCGTCCACATTCTTTGATTTGCGATCTTCGTCAGACGGACATTCAGCCACAGGCCCGGGTCCACCGTCTTCGTGCTCATCGTCAGGATAGTCTTCTGGATTGATGGTGTACTCGTCACTGGAATCGCTTGGATCGGACGGTGAGAGAATTTCCTCCTCATCTCCTTCTTCCTCGTCCAATGAAGACATGTTTTGCTGCTTTTTGGAGTTCAGAGACTGCCAATGCGAGGCACTGATGCAGTGCTCGTTTTCAAACCGCTATTCATTTGGCGGGTAAAAGCATTTCAGCAAAGAAAATTTCTGAAAAAATATTAGTTAATTTTTATCTAAATTTAAAAATAGTTTATTTGGTACTGAGTAAAAATTTAAAAAACAAATTATTTATTTGATTTACAATTTTACATAAGGGCGCTGATAGGTGGATGCATTCCACACGGTAGAGCACTTGCGTTATACTACGTATAAGTTATGTACGAGGGTAGTATATGTAATTTGATGTTTAAATGGAGGGATAACGATGGCAGAAAAAAAAAAAAAAAAAAAAAAAAAAAAAAAAAAAAAAAAAAAAAAAAAAAAAAAAAGAGGGAAATGAGTACTGCTATTTAATCTCTTTTTTAGGAAGGGCAATTCTGCTAAACTTCCAATCCATCATAACCTGCCTTTCACGAAATCCAAAATAGCTATGAATCCAAAAAAAAAAAAAAAAAAAAAAAAAAAAAAAGAGGAAACTGAGTACTGCTATTTAATCTCTTTTTTAGAAGGCAATTCTGCTAAACCTCCATCCATCATACCTGCCTTTCACGAAATCAAAATAGCTATGAATCCATGTACATTGTAAATCTTTAATCCCCAGTGGAAAGAAATGCAATCGAGGCATAAAATTGAGACTGTGCAGGTGACAAAGCAACCCATAGACAAATTAGAATGTAAGAGATTATGTTTCAATGAAGAATGATCATACGAAAATGGAGTGGGAGTTCTAGAAGCAAAAATTTGAGGAGCTTATCTGGAATGACAATGGATTGTACAAATGGAAAGAGATTATATGTAAGTTGAATCTTATGGTGTTCTGGTTAACCTCTATCCTTCCGGTTTGCTCCAGCTTGAAATACCCAGCTCCCCTTTCAATCAATTTTCCCCCTTTATAGACGGCCCAATGATTTTGCATTGTAAAAAAATAAAAATTTTCGATTATGATGTTTTTGAGTACAATTAGAAGACATCTGAAATCATTCATACATCTACATAATTTTCCCCTTTACAGACAACTCAATTGATAATCTCTTGAACTCTACATCTTGATCTCCCTTTGGATAGAAACTTGTTATCTATATTTGGAATGTCAATATCAAGTTTTGTAAAATAAAAATACTTGGGTCAATCAAGGTTCTCATCTATTGTCTCTCAAATTTTGTTGTCGATGCTTTAAAATAGTAACTAATTTCATGACAATTCGTTAGTGATTCCCAATAACATTTCATAAGATACAAAGTGAATACAAAGTCAAATGTATATAATATGTCTACAAACCATTAGCTTCACTCTTTGATCTAAGACTTAATCCATCTTCTCTAATGATTTCAAGCACATCAATTATTGATGAAGATTAAAGAATTAAATTTATCAAGATGTGATAATATGATCCCCAATGAATATCAATACTCCTTTTAAGACAAATTTCTTGATTCAAGCCACATCTACTAGGAATTTTTCCTTTTTCGCTTCTTTAACTTTAGCAACTTATTTTTCATGAAGCATGTCATGATGCTTGCATGATCCACCAACAACATTCAATAAAGTATTAACTAAGTTGAAAAGAGAAGCAATTTTAATATAACCTTGGAAATGGCAATAAGTATGAGTTGCAATTGCTAGAGCAAAGCAATGAATATAGAAAGCAGATGAATTTTTTTTCTTTCAAAAATCAAACTCTTAAGACCATTGAATTCACCTTGCATATTACTAGCACTATCATAATCTTGTCCATGAGTTCTTGATATAATCAAATCATACTTGCAAACTAATAATTCAATTATTTTTTGATAAAGTAGTTGTATCACTAATATGCATTATACTAAGAAAACATTCAACAATACATTCTAACTTGTTTATATAACCAAAGCAACAATCATTTCTTCTTTCTTTCTTTGATATATCATGTGACTCATCCACAATGATAACAAAATATTTATTCTCAAGATAATATATTATAGTATTAGTTGTCTCAATTGCAACAACATAACAATGTTTTTTTGAATATCAAGAGCAATTATTGATCATTTTTAGGAACATTTTGCAAAACAACTTTTAAACTCTAATTTTAATCATCAAGAAATTTGAAAAGTTCAAGAAAGTTATCTTGATTAGATAAACTTTCTGACTCACTGTGATCATGAAAAGCTAATCCCTACTTAAAGAGACAATCAATTGATGCAGTTAATCGACTTCAATATAAGTCACAAACTTTATCAAATTGCATATAGCAACTTTCAATGTACTGGCTTTAATTCATCAAACTCTTAAAATTCCTCTTACCATTGTTGTAAGCTATTTGACCTACAATGTGCAGGTTCAATATATCTTTCTTGTTCCAATTCGTAAATGCCTCTGTAACCAACATCTCCTCTCGATTTTCCTATATCACACTTAAAAATATAGTAACACTAGCAATATACAATATCTTTTACTATGCTATATTCTAACCAATTATCATATTCATCAAATCAAGTGGAACAAAATCGATGAAAGTTAACTCTAACTTGCCTTCTAAGAAAATCATGTTGACAAGGTTGACAAGGCCCTTTTTGCAAGTAGTATTTTCTGATCTTATCTTAATCATTAGGATTGATAGGGTGATATTTTAGAGTGTAATCTAGGATCTAATGGAAGATCCTTTAAGTTAATTTCAACTCATGGTTGTTTTGTGCAATTCGATGATTCAACATGAAAATTAGCTTCATCGGGCTTTGAAGAAGCTTGTTGATTAGAGATTGATTTTTGTTTGAGAAATTTACTCACACCTCCTTGTATAAGAATAGGGAAAATTATTTCTAGGTCCTTGAGATTTTACAAAATACATTAGTCCATTATTGTTGTTGGAACAAATTATTCGGTAATCCTAACTCTTTAGTCCTTACGTCGAAAAAGTGATTTTTTCCGTTAATTTTACATGAAAAGACCTAAGTATGCTTATTATATAGGACCCATCTCTATCTCTCTCCTTCCTCAACATTTCACTTTCTCCTCTCACGAATCTACAAATGGGTATTCAATATATGAAAGAAGTAGACAATGTCTATAAGCATTGGTTGTAGCACCAAACGTTAAGGAATGGCATCGGAGGCCAGGAGCATCTTCATCGTTACGTAGGTATCTATTTAAAACCAAGTAATTTTTCTAAAGTGTTTAGGGTGACGATTTTGATTGTAAATTGAAAGAATCAGAGAACTACAAAATTAAAATTGAATTCGGATAGATAATAATCCGACTAAGCAAAAGAGGGAAGGATTGAATAAGGAAGAGCCTGAGATGAATTTGTTAATTAAGCTAGAGCAAGAGAATATTTTGAAAAAGCATCCTTTGAATTTGCCCAATCGAGAAACCTAGTAATTTAATATGGTTAAACAAGTTTAAACCCTCTTCCCCAAATCCATTTTATGTTATTCCTAATATCATTACAGTCCAAGTAAGTACATTTTTCTCAAGCATCTCCTCAAAAAATGATAGGTTGGAATGCCTAGGTAACTTGATATTTAGCAGAGAGAAAGAAAACAAAACTATACAAAATGAAAAGGAGAAAAGAACCTGTAGTGTTGTTTTGCGTGTAAGCCAATGCAGGCGAGAGAAGAAGAAGTGAGATTTTTCTGTCTTTTGGGATTTTGATCCCCGAGAGTTATTGTTGTCTCTCGCGCGTTTAGAAGCAAGAATCCAAGTGTTTTTTATATGGGTTGGATTTGACAATCACAGTCACGACTTTTAACAGCAAGTTTTACACAACATATGTTGTCTTTCTTTGCTTGGTTACTACAATCTTGATGAAGAATCATTAGAAACGTTGATTGAGCATGTACTGATTCCTACACCTGACCTAGTAGTTAAGAGTAAAGATCTTGATTCTAGTGGTAGTGTTAGTGATGGCAGTGATGAAGAAAATATGGGTGAGAGTATGGAGGTAGAGAGTTGGATCAATTTTGTAGGTCTCACATGGGTATTTCAATCTTTTCATATAAAATTAACGAAAAAAGTGTCCATTTTTCGACATAAAGATAAATAGTTAGATGGAGACATATGTTAGAGACTCCGAAATAATTTGTTCAAACAGCAATGATGAACTAATGTATATTGTAAAACCTAAGGGATCTAGAAATAATTTTTTACTAAATAAAAATATTTCTATAAATTCAGATATAAAGTATCATATGTAGTCTTAAAGAATATAACTTTGTCTAATAAATTCAGCAAGCCAAAATATAACTTCAGAATGTCAATATGATATATTACTACAATCTATAAATTTGAAAAGAGAATTACTTTATCCAACATATAAACACTCGTCTCAATTCTCACGTGACATGAGACATAGCAAATGTTAGTTGTTTTGAAGTTGCTTTAACGACTCACAATTATCTTAGGGACTATATCACTAGTTGCTTCCAGGATTGAATTGATAGAAAATTCTTAAAATAATTCTTTTGCAAAATTGCCACAAAAACCCAGTACTCGAAATATAATCGAATAAATAAACAATGCTTTTGCTTTGTGATGACCACAAACAAATAATTATACATAAAACCAACAAATTTTCCATTAGAAAAAATATTTATAGACAAATATAAAAATTTTATAGATGAAAAGCCAATAAATTACATAGAGGAAAACCTGAATTTTGATTTTAAATTCTTGAAATTGTGGGTGGTGTTGCTACCTCTTGCTCTCAAGTCTCTACTTTGAGTCTTTGATTTTCTTTTCGTTTTTTTGGCAATAACTATGTTTTAAGCCACACTTCAAGAGACTAATAGTGTTATTAATTTATTATATTTTTTTCTTCTTTTTATATTTTTTTGTGTTTTAGAGGTATAATATTTTATTACTAATTTAAAAACCAAATTAATTTATGGGCCAAAACTAGACAAAAATAGAATTCCTAATTTTGCATTATTATTTAATTAAAAAGTCAACGTCAAATTTTTTTTTTTTTTTACAAAGTTGGGAAGCAAAACCAAAAAATAACAACATTTACGGGGAAATAACTCTTGAAAACATTAGCTCAATTTTTTAAATATTTAAAAAGACATTTAAATTAATTTAAGGTGATTTACAAATTATAAATACAACAAAATTAAAAGCGTTCACTTTATAAATATATTAATAGCCGTTTAAAAAAACTTTCAAGTCAATGCACCCTCAACTACATGTGCTTCCACTTTTTCTTTTTAATCATTCAACAATCAATTGTTGATACCACTTAATCATTTAGCTCAACAAGACAGTTATTCAGATTTAAGGTTCAAAATTCAGCTCAAATAAACAATCTCGAACTTTGTAATAATATGCTTTAATACATTGGAGAATCCAAATAAACAATCAAAATATATGCAACCGATCAAACGAACTTTACACAACAGGAAAAAAAAAAAAACACTTTAAATGGCAGCAAGTCATCTTGTCATCCCTCGTGCCATCATTGGGGCCGTAGCCATTGTAGCACCACGCTTTTGCCTTTGCATATTGGCCTCCCAACCTTCAATTTCCCGTAGAGTAACACCGTGCGGGCAAGGAAGATGCCAAATAAGTATTTTTACAAATAATAAAATTGTGGAGCTAATTATAGTAATTTACCCAAAAATAATAGAACAAAATAATAATAAATAATGACTGGCTAATTCGACTTTAAAATATACATTTTCACTAGCGAAGAATTCTTCGATTAATTTCAGAGATTAAATAATTAATTATAATATTTTTTATCTTTGATTAATGAGAACAATCATGTTAAAAATCTAACAAACATGACGAATTAAGAAATTGACGCAGAAAAAAACTGTAGAAATTAATTAATTTGATTTTAAAAAACATATAAATATTTATTATTTAAATATTTATTATTACCAGTATTTATTATTGGTAAATATTTATTATTACCAAACATGAATGCATAAATTACTATTACCAAACATACAAATAATTATTATTTCGTATAATGAATTAAAAACATATAAATATAGCTAGTTGACCAGTCTAACTTGTGACTATTTAAAGTATTACACCCTTATAATTGACTGCATCATAAATTCTTTATGCTTTATTATACTTTAATAGTGATTAATAAATGTTAGAGTTTCTTTGAAAAAAAAATTATTAAATTCAATTATAAATTCACATTTAAACATTGTATTTAAGGCTTTAAAAAAATTCAGCTGTAATTATTTATTTTTAATTTTATGAAATTAAATATGTTTAGGTTAATTGATAGAATTCTTGTAACAGAGTATATAACTTTGTAAAATTTTCATAATATTTTTATTCATTATAATGAATTTTATGAATTAATTTCACATAATTTATTCATTAAAAATTCAAAACTTCAAAACTAAATATTCAATTTTTTTTTTTTGGAAAAATAATTTTAATCTAGATGGACGAAAAATAAAGAAAAAAACTTATAGACGTGTGTAAAAATATTGTACCTATCCCCATATCAAATCCACGGCTTTTCAGCTCCCTGTATTCTTGACATAGTGCACAAGTCTCGCAGCAGCAGTGTACCAAGCAATCCACACAAGGTGCTTCCTCCAAGTCATATTGGCCCCTCAATTTTGACCGATAAAAACACGAGTACAAGCACGCAAATCCTGTGAATGCCAATAATAATCCATACACTGCCCCTCTCGAAGCACAGGCTGCAATTTAACCACACAAACTTTCAGTTTATGCATTAGTAGCCGATCTAAAAATATTTTTTCCTGGGTTAATATATAATTTTTTGAAAAAAAAAGGTCAAAAACATAAATAAATTAAAATTTCATGAATTAATTTAGATAATACAAATATATATTAGAAAATTTAAAAAAAAAAAAAAAAAGGATCAAGTGATCCCTTTTTTTATGAAGTGGATCCGCCACTGCATATGTAAGGAGCATCTTCTTCTTTTTACCAATAGTAACAGAACTGCAGAAGTCTTTTGGATGTAAGCAAAATACTCAATTACGGAACAACTTACTCGATTAAGGTGCACAAAACCTCACCTTGGTGATTGTAGGACTGATTTTTTAGGCTAAATCAATTTGGTTTTTAAAATTTCAAAATTAAAGTAAAACTTAAAATTTTCAATTTTTTCTATTAAAGTTAAAACCGAACCTAATTAAACCCAAAACTGATTGTATTTGTTCGGTTCAGTCCTTTTACCAATTATTGAATTGAAATTAACTAAAGAACAAAAAAATATTTAATAGAAAGTAGCAAAATGATTATTAGTAAGTCTTACATGTGGATCCTTCGTTCAATATCTCAGCTATCTGTCCAAAAGTGATGCAAGGACAAAAGCAAGTGATCATACCTAAAACAACAACATATATACAATTTAATTAATAAAAATCCACCAAAAAAAAAAAAAAGTTTTACCCAATTTGTGACATTGAAATTACCTACAAGAACAGAATAAAAATTTATATTTAAATTAGGAAAAGTAGCAAATGATTATTAGTAAGTCTTTACATTTGTGGATCCTTCGTTCAATACTCTCAGCTTTCTGTCCAAAAGTGATTGCAAAGGACAAAAAGAAGTGATATCCCTTCCCAAAAACTCGAACACTTATATAACAATTTAATTAATAAAAATCCGCACCAAGAAAAAAAAAAAAGTGGAATATAAGGAAAACCCCAAAAAAAAAAAAAAAAGTGGAATATAAGGAAAAATCTTTTGTAGATGATCAGTTTTCAAGTACTTACAATTTGCAGGATCATCACAGCAATGGCATAAACCTGTAGACCACTTTCCAGGCGCACCTGGACGAGGCAAACTGGTGGAGTCGTACGAGGGATAATAAGGCTGAGGAGGATACGATTGTACAGAACTTGGGTTTGGAAATCCTGAAACAGGAATTGGTACTGTGTTTTCTTCAGATGCTGTATACATTTTGAAGGTGAAACTGAGTAATAGGTTAACGAACCCATTTGGTCTCCGTATGTATATATACAGACACTAAATTCCAATTGAGGGAGTTCCATTTGGTGGAAACTTCAATTGGTCAATGGTTTCCAGTTTCAGTTAAAGTCTAGGTCACCAATTTATAAATAATTAATAGGGTTTGTTGAATTGGAAAAATTGAGTCTGTGTTTTTATCTTATTAATTGACGCGTTGGAATTTTAAAACGTTCACACGCCTAACAAATTTAATATTCATAGTTGATATAAATAAAGATACATGTGTCTTTAATATTGTAAAAAATGACAGGTTGTTTAAGTTATAATTGACTGTTGACAAGGTTTATGAGAATTAGATATACAAAATGCAGGAAAGTGTTTCCATAAACAAACTTTGGTAATTCCTTTTGGAGTTTATTTGAAATTTTCAATGAATAGCAAACTATAATTGCAACACCTTACTCAATACGGAGGGAGTATTTAAAACCTGGAACTAGAAAGAATCTTTCTCATGTATAAATTCCAGGAAACGACAGAGAATCTTTCTCTGATTTAATTATATTTTATTTAAATTTTTAATTGTCTTGGTCTTCACTGGCAGTTTCGTGGGGCATCTAATCAGATACAAGTTGATATATATATATAGGAATAGACGAATTTTCTTATTTTTAATTGACCAAGAAATCTTGAGTCTACGACGTTATCTTGCAATATTAATTTTTAGGGGGAAATGTGAGTCTCGTGGCTTGTGAATTTAAAAGAGGATTTGAGGTAAATGACAAAAATTAGGAAGCTTGTATTGTTTAGTTTGGGATTATTGAAAAGTAAGATTAAATATGAAAATTACAAAAATAATCTTCTCATTAAAGTTTTATTTTTTACTTTTAGATTATGAATTGTTGGAAATTTTTTTTTCTAGTGAGATATTGACTTATGGATACAAACTAATTCTTTCTAAACTAAATTTTCAAAAATATATAAATTGGTTTGAAAGAGAAAACAGTTAGAAGAAATAATTGCCAATTAGGTGTGGTTTGAAGGTTCCGGGTTCGAGTCCATTGGACCTCCCATGTATAAAAAAAAAAAAAAGAAATAATTAAGTGAACAATTTAGAGCTTTTAAAACATTAACATAAATAAGATGGAAAGCTAAAATTTTTGAGCCTTCCCAATCTTTAATTTAACTAGTTCTTTTATGACATCCGTTGCACATCGAATTTACTCATTATATACTTATTTAATTTTGTTATTTATATAGTATTAAAGTACAAATTTTTATTTATAATAAAATAAATACAAAGATTAATTTATGTTGCACTTTATATATACAATAAAATTTTGTAACATGTCTTCTTTTGTAATATCCAACTGAAAAGAAAATGATATTTTTATTTCTCTTTAATAAAAAATAGTATAATTTTATTGTTAATTAATTATATAAAATCACTAAAAATTTGCATTTACCATGCTGCAAAATATTCTATAATTTGGCAATACTATAATTTTAATCTAATAAATCAAGATTTACTCTGCGTAACTACAATATAAAATATGATTTTAATCTCCACATCAATTATTTTCGTCGGATGAAGTTAAGCCGATATTAGCAATAGCATGTAATATTTTGGACCATGTTTTACACAGAATCCAAAAATAAATTGTTTAAAGTTCTCAACTTCACATGAGAATCAATATGTAAAATTGTAAACAATAATATTGATAATGGAATGTACTCTATCAAGTTTAAAAAAAAAGATATAAATGAGATTAAATTCAAAAATTACAAAGTCATATATAAAAAATATTTAAAAAAATATTAAAATATTAAAGGTCTAATTATCTTTATATCTATTTAAAAAAATATTTAAAAAAACATATCCAATTAAATCATAGAAAAATTAAATAAAATTCTATAAATTTAAAAAATAAAAAAATAAAATATGAATAAAAATAGAGTTTTCAAATTTTCTCTTTATTTCATTTTTAATATAAAAAATTTGAAAATAAAAATGATAGCAAATTCAAACATTTATAGCATATTTTTTCAAAAAGATTTCATTAGACTAAAAAAGAAAAACTCTCCTTTTCTATATTAGTCAAATACCATAATTTTATACTTCCATTGCTTTTGTTAAATTTAAAAAATTTTAAAATACAATAATATGTAAATGATTTAAATAAGTGTACACCATCCTCTCCAAAAAAATCAAAGTGAAATAATATTTTTAATCTTTTTTAATTTCATTGTAATTAACTAATATAGTCTAATAAAAAGTGTTTAATCATATTTTAAAAAATTGATAACATAATAATTTAATAGAATTTAAGTTTCATTTCAATAGTTGAATTAAGATTATCAATTTACCTCCTAAAAAATAATATAACATGAGAACATAAAGGACTATTAATTATGAAAATCATTGGACAATAATATTACAATATCAAATAGAGAATATATGTAAATGTACATATTTTCTCGAATTAAAATGCATAAAAAATCTAATTAAAAGGATATTCAAAATTATAAATGGAATATTTTTTTTATTAAAAGGCATTAAAAATACAACTAAAAAGGGTCTTCAAAAGGATAAATAGACTTATTTTCTCCGATTAAAATGCATAAAAAATTAATTAAAATGATATGTTAGGAATTCCACATTACACTAAGGCTACTTTACGAAATCTCATAATTCCTTCCTCTATTCCCACATGTATGTAGATTATAGATTATAAATTTATTTTATTATCTATTAAGTTAAAGAGAGAAAAATAATGTGTATAATAAATATATGAAGTATGTAATATGTAATTAGCTTTAACATTTAATTTAAATCCTAAATTGAATAAAATTAAAATTATATATAGTATATAAAAAAATTTTTAATTTTCATTATAGCCTTATTATATAACATTAAAATAATTAAAAATAAAATATATTTATTCATATATAGTTAAGGTTAATTATCTATTAAGCATAATATTTAAAGGAATCTCATTATTCCCCTTCATTCCTACTTTTATATAAGTTACTAGTTTTGTATACGAACGTGCGTTTCACCGTTTGACTATACTTCGTTGATAGATTCATTTTTTAGTCTATAATATTATACCATATTGTTTAAATTAAAATAAATACAAGTGGTTAATTTGTATTATACTTTGTCGTACGAATTACTTCCAATGTTACTTATTATGTACTTAATTCTATTTCTATATAATGAAGTGATCTTAGAATAAAATTCAACCAAATCTTTAGACCTAAAATCCTTTAGTCCATAATTTATAAATGTAGATTTTTAAAACCTTAATAGGTACTCAAAAAGAAAATCAAGTTATCATTGAATCTCCAACCCTCTGCTCTCAATCCCAAATCAATATCTATATACAACTATAATGAAGAATAATAAAAAATTATTTTTACTACTAGGTCAAAGAAAAGAAATGAGAAGATAATCTGAATTGATAATGGAAATCACTTTAACCATAGTGGCATTATTTTTACCCAGTGTATTAGAGAAAGTAATATATGCACATACATATAAATTTTTGAAACCCAAAAAGTGACCAAAACATAAATATATATTTCTAGTTTTTTTTTTTTTTTTTTTCTTTTTTCAAGTTCTCTAATTACGTGATTTTCTTTTAAGTTAACACAGACTTTAAGATATAAGAGAAAAAAATATCAAGAAAATTAAAAATGCTTTAACCATCAAATAGGCATCTATTTATGTAAGGGTATTTAAATTCTCTTACTAATTATAAATGATAGTAATTACAAATTATTCAATAATGAAAATAAAATAAAAAATTATTAATTAAGAATAAACTTTTCAAACTCACCTAACCAAAAAAAAACGTTATCAATGTAATATAGATATATAATATATCAATAAATATTATAATATAATATAATTAAAATTTCAATTGTTTATCATTCCATGTTTAATTATGTAAATTCTATTTGAAAAATTTTCACTTTTAAAAAATATATTCAATAAATATGCAAAACATAAAGAACAAAATTTAATAACAAATAATATAACTTTTTTTCTTCTTTTTTTATCTCTCTCACTAATAAATATTATATTATATATATTTTATTTTGAACTTTATTTTTTAAAAATATATCCAATCATATCATACAAACATAAGAAAAAGAATACTAGTAAAAAAGTATATTTTTTTTTAACTATAGCTTAAAAGAATTAAATATTTAATAAATGAATATAAAAAAATTTTCATAATTCTCATTATCAATATATATTCATTAAAAATAAATTTAGTAAATATTAAAAATTAAAATTTTAAAATGCTTAACTATATATGTTATTTATTTAAAAAATTATTTTTCGATTCATAGGGAGGCCTGATGGTCGAAATAATATGCGGTCTATGAACATCAAATTGGTATCACCTAATAAAAAAAACGTTTTCAATATATATTATATATATTATATATATATAATCAAATAATATTAATTTTGTTTAAAATTAAAATTTTTCAATTGTTTACCATCCAGTTTAATTATTATAATTATATCTTATTCTAGAAAATTTTAATTATTTATATTATACTTATTTAAAAAATAATTTTGAAATTAAAATTAAAATTAATATTGTATTTATTTAAAATTAAAATTAAAATTTTGAAATGTTTAATTGTATTTATTTAAAAAATAATTTTTTTATTCATTAAAAGGCTTGATGGCCGAAATAAACTGTAGGCTACATAATAATCAAATTGGTAAAAACACTTGCGATCAAAAGGATTCAAACTCAACACCTCTCACTCCTAACATAAATAAGAAGATAATCAGACCGCACATAATTAGCTGAAAAAATATTTTAGAAATCTCATTCTTCTCCTCTATTTTCACTTTTATAGTATAGATATATAGATTGATACATAGATGAATTATAAAATGGAGAGCTATGGGTTTCCAACTCTCAAATAATTATTAAAAAAAAAAATCACCTAACCCTCTTCCAAAATACTAATCTATATCTGGACCTTACCCTCAAAGTTGTTAGGACTTCTTACAAATGGTGAGGTTAAATGAAATATAACTGAATAGAAAAAATTAAACCAAACCGGATGGTTAAATTAGTTCAATTTGATTTTTAAGATGATTCACTTAAATTAACCAATATCAGAAATAACAAGATTGTTAATTTTTAATTTTAATACAAAGATGGAAAGTTAAAGTCAGTGCGGTTTTTTTTTTTTTTTTTAATCAAACTAAAAAAACCTTAAAAAACATAAATCTGGATTAAATTAATCCAACAATGAGTTAAATTTAAAAATCAGATTCTTTTTTTTTTTTTTTTTTAATCAAACTAAAAAAACCTTAAAAAACATAAATCTGGATTAAATTAATCCAACAATGAGTTAAATTTAAAAATCAGATTCTTAAATAATGGATTCAAATTAATTTATAATTAAAAAATCAACAAATTTTTTTTTTATTATTTTTACTGGTTGAATTTGGCGACAGTATTTTTCTTTTTGATGAATAAATTGACAGTTTTCACACCTCTCCCTCAAAAATGTCATTGTTGCTGTCAGTTTAAAACAATTGCGTGTTTGAAGAATTAAAAATTTCTGGTTGTTCAGTAGTCATTAGAAAGAAAGTTAAATATAAGTCAAGATATTAACGGGAATATTACCGTTGACTTGGTCCACTGCTGAAGAGCATGAACTCATCAAATAGAACTATTGGGCCTTAATTACCGAATAGAGCTGTTAGGCTTTAATTATCAAATCAAACTGTTAGACCTTAATTACTAAATAGAGCCGTTAGTCTTTAATTACGAAGCAGGAGACATGAAGAATAAATCTCCATAAATTGTAACATTAGGTTTGTCGTATATGTCTAGGTGCAAAATTATTAATAAGTTCTTGGCCATTTATGATTAGGTACTTGGCAATTACTCCTCCGTCATTGTTTTTATTATATATTATATCAGATGCCACCCATAAGTGTTGGAAATCTATGTTCAAATTCAAGCTACAGTGAGTTTGAATTGCTAGACGACACTAATATTTTCATTTAGCTTATTCTTTTATTCAAGACATGATTCTTCATATTCTTAGTATTTGATTTCTATGCTTATACACTTTAATTGAGCTTCTTAGGCTTCCAACATGATGAATGCTAAGATCTCAAGCTGCTTAAGCTCATTTACTTTAATCAGAGCTTCTTAGATTTGAAATACGGCAATGCTGAATATATATATATATATATATATATAATCCTAGGCATAAAACAAGTAGTATCTAGTGTGAATTAATCAAGCGTTGTGAGGATGAAGGTATACTGGGAGTCCTTTAGCAGGCATTGGCATAGGATCAACAATGATCTTCTCATCTGGAAAAATCTTGTGAAATCTGAAGCGCTTGATTAAGTTGTGCATGAAAACAAGAATTTCCAATCTAGCATACTCTTTTCCAGGGCACATTCTTGGTCCTCCACCAAATGGAACAAATGTGTAAGGAGCTGGTCCGTCCCCTTCAAATCTGCTTGGATCAAATTTTTCTGGTTCTGGAAAGTATTCTCCACTTTTATGGGTTGAGTTTGCACACCAATATACCTGTCATTATTTATAATTATAATTAGTTCTTTACTAATTAGTTAATTAAACAAAGGCAACCAACCTGCCAAGTTCGAATTTCTTTTCCTCCAATACTCGGAAAAAAAAAAAACAAATGACAATAAATTTTTTTAAAAAAATTTAACTAATGTGTCTACTCTTTTTAAAAGTAAAATAATTGAAAGGTAATTTTATCCATCACAGTAACAGGACATCTAATTTATGATATGGTTTGAAATTGATAATTCAGTTGGACCTACTATACTAGACTTAAAATGATAAAAAAAAAAAGTTTAAAAAGCAATTTATAAATTTTAAATTATTATTTACATAAATCAATAGTGTATATCACTTGATCTAAAAATATAATTGATCCACAACTTCAAGTGGTCTGACCCAAAATCCAAAACAAACCAAACCTAAAGTCACCGACCAGTGATAATCCCATCAGAATCATAAAAAATATACATAAGCTAGTATGATGTATGAAAAATATTTGCCCATTTTATCATAATTTATACAGTAGAATTATTGTTTCCTTGATACCCATACAAAAACCTTAAACGACTTATATTTTGAGTCATAGGGAGTAGCTTACGTGTTATTCCGATCTATTTGGTCTTTCATTAATTAAAAAAAGTCGTAGAAAAGAAATTGGGGAAAAAAAAAATATGAAGTGGATATTGAATTTATTTACCTTCCAGCCTTTGGGAACAGAGAAACCATTAAAGATGAAGTCATCGATGGCTTCCCTGAAAGCACCTCTTAGAGGAGGAAAGAGTCTCATCACTTCACACGCAACATTCCATGAATATTTCATCTTTTGAATGTCTTTCCAATTCAACAGCTCTCCTTCTCCTTTGCTTTTAGCAATATCTATTTGCTCTACAAATGTATAATAATAAATTTTATGTGCATGTATATATATATATATAAAACCATATCAAAGAAGTTTGTTTGTAATTAAGTAAGCTCATTTTAAAAGAATACAATTACTAAAAGAAAATCCAAACCTTTTAAAAAATACATATAGTTTCGGGTAGATGGGTTCATTAATCCAGTAATTCATTCAAAATATCTTAATCTTTGCGGATCGTATCAATTGCGCCCCATTTTGGCCTTAATCCTAAAACAGTCCAATTTAAAAGTTTTGTAATAATTGAACCCTAATTTAAAATCAATGTTTAAAAAATCAATAAACAATACAAATGTAGGTCTCACACACTGACACAAGGGTTAAACTAACCCAACCCCTAACTCACATAAAAACGCATCGTTCATGATAAAAGTATAGTCAATATTATCAGTACTATAATCTCCTTCCTTATTCTTATTCTTATTCTTGTTCTTATTCTTACATTATTATATTCGTTCAACAAAAAAAAAAAAAGAAAAAGAACTCTAAGCTTTTTTTTTAAAATAATTAAACGATTCTAGTAGATATAAAACTCGTTTAGACTCAGTTATAGACCAAATCAATCACAATAATCATTTTTTGAAATAATGTGCGTTTTTTCTGGTGAATAATTAGAAATACTCTCGTTTAAAAAAAAGTTAGTTTTCATTGAATTAGTTGGTGGATGAATCCATAGACCAAATCTAGCGACATAAGTGTTCTCATTAAGTAGATATATGCAAGGGTAGTTAAACGTACCTTGGTAAACTCCATCGTAAATATGAGGGAGCTCGGCTAGACACTTGACAATGGAAGTGCAAGCAGAACTTGCAGTATCATGTCCACCAATCAACAACCCCAGAATCTTGTCTGCAATATCCATCTCATTCATATACTTTCCATTCTCATCACACGTAGTTAACATGTGAGACAATATATCCTGACTAGTTGATGCCTTGCCTTCTGCGAGCTCAACCTTCCTTTTCTTGATAATACTAAATAGCTCCTTCCTTATAAACTTGGAGGCTTTTATAGCTCTGTGAAATGGGGTTCCGGGCAAATCAATGGGAACAGAAAAAATTCCAGAAGCCAAAACATTAAATGGGTCTGCAAATTTCGCGATGTGATGTGGATCTTCAATGCTTACAAATAATCGACAAGCAACCCAGAACGTATACTTTTTTGCTAAAGAGAAAACGTTCACTTGTTCTTTGTTCTCCCAATCAGAGGCGAAGTGCCTTTGTGCAATAGTATCCATTATACCTGTATTGCAGAAAAAAAATAATCATGCTCATGCATCTCATTTATATGTATAGATGCAGCAAAAAATTTAAAAATTTTTCCTTTTTCTTTAACCACAAATCATATATAAGAACCTACTATTGTAAATAGGACTATCTATCCGTATTGGCACGAGTCATGATCCATATACCATTATTTATATTGGATAAAATTTGCCTATACCGGTCTATAATCTATTGAATAATCCATACATCAAGCCAATCAAAAAAGAATTCTTTAAAATATTATTACTGTTTTATTTTGTTTCTAGTAATGATCAAAAATACTTTCCGTTTGAACTAAAAAAATGTCTTTAATTGGTATGATGTAAAGAATCTGGCCATACATTCAGTGGAGGTAAGTGCTTCCCCCCCCCACATCTTAGTAAAACGTAAATGCATTGCATGAAAAAATTGTGTGCAAATGTACACATGAAGACGAGTTGTAAATAATGACTCGGATCTCAAAATAGTTTTTGGGTTAAGCTTTCATAAGAACAAGACTGGCTTACACCTTGAATACGTTTATTTGTGAGCCTAAAAATCACATATAAGAATTTTTTATCTTTAACTTCGATAGAGTCTGTAATTGGCAATAACAATGTCAAACTAGCGTATTTATACCTATATATCGCTGCAAGGCCTCAGGTTTCAAGAACTGAGGTAGCAATTTTCGCATTTTCATGGCTTCTTCTTTGGAAGAAGTCTGAAGCTTGGCTTCCCCCCCCACATCTTATAAAAAGACGTAAAATGGCATTGCTTATGTGAAAAAATTGTGTTGCAAATGTACACATGAAGACGAGGTTGTAAATAAATGACCTCGCGATCTCAAAATAGTTTTTGGGTTTAAAGCTTTTCATAAGAAACAAGACTGGCTTACACCTTGAGATACGTTTATGTGTGAGCTAAAAAATCAACATTATCCAAGAATTTTTTATCTTGTAACTTCGATAGGAGTCTGTAATTGCCAATAATCAGATGTGCAAACTAGCGTATTCAATACGTATATACTCGCTTGCAAGGCCTTCAGGTTTCAAGAACTGAGGTAGCAATTTTCGCATTTTATCATGGCTTCTTCGTTGGAAGAAGTCTGAAGAGAGGAAGGAATTACTTTGTAAACAGAAATCAGGCCACCAGTTCGAAAACTACTGTTTATTCATTAAAGAACAAGAACTTATTAGCGGCAGGCACCATATAAGACTGCGTAGGGTGCCTGAGAAGGTTTGTTTATTGAAAGATCTGTGAAGAAGCCTATTTTGATGTCGAATCAAAAACAAAATTTTCAGGGCGATGGGCCTTTCCGTCCATTGTAAACTCACAGAATTCCGAAGCTCTCTCCAATATAGGGAGGCCTGAAACTCCCGAGAAGCATCTAGCGGTATTTGTATTGAGATTGTGATTGTAGAAAATGATTAAAAAAGGAAGAGGTTGATTAAAGAAATGGATAAGCAGGAGGAAGATATAACAGGTAGAAATGCTCCATTCTGTTACTTTCTCTTGATTTGATTTTTGTCTTGCATGGCATGTGACGAGGGTATATTATAGGCATACACTGTGTGATAGTTGGGGCGTTGACAATAATGTTAGAGAAAATTATTATTAGGTTACTACATAAATGGGTCAAATATTTTATTAATTAGTCCACCTTTTTCAACATAAGTTTCCGTTTCTATTTTTTGACTTCTCGTAACATATATAAGACTGTTGAATTGTTCACTATCGTTTTGAGAAGCCGGATTACGTCATGATCCGGTGAAGAGTTCATGAGTTTACTGAATCGAAAGGATTCAACCGTGCATTTCAATATGTTTCCAACACCGGATGCTAATGTATATATAATAATTGTTTAAATACCTATTGAAAATTATCTACGGATTCTTAATAAATTTTTCTAATTGAAAAAGAATAATTAATCACTATAAATTAAAATTATTACTCTTTTTCCATTTGTTATTTAAAACATTTATAACGATTATCTCAATTCCATTGTTCAAAAGAAGATGATGAATTTTGTGTTACGATAATTTTTTTTTCCGAAAAATGGAAAATTATTGTTGATAAGTAAACTTTTTATGAAATAAATCTTAAATAATTAGATTAATTTTATTGCTATTTAAAAAGAAGCAGGAATAAATAAATCAAAGAAAAACTACTGTGGTCTTACAATTTAACAAAAATGAACAGAACCTCTACTATTCTTTCTCTCAGCGAATCAACAACACTTACAATTCTCTTCAGCCCATCGCCCTCTATATCTTTCTAAGAAAGACCAACTTATCTCACGGAAACAACAACTTCCTTGCAATTTCGGGATTAAATAAAGAGTTAGAAAACAGACATGCCATATAATAATATATAATAAAGCAACGATGGGTTCCATTTCAGTTCTCTAAAAAACCACTCCAAAAGATAATCCCTAAATCTTCCACAAAACCATTTATTTATGATGATTTATTAAAATCTTAAGAAATGGTGGCCACCAACTGAATCGATATTGAACATGAAAACTTGACGGCTAAAGGCTTGAGTTACTGCGCGTTATTTTGCATTGCATTTTTTTTTTTTTTTTCTTTTGAATTCGAACCGTAGGTAAATACCTGTGACGTGGGTCTCAGTTCGCCGCATTTTTATCCGGTTCTTACCGATTTGCTGCCGATTCTCACGATTTTTTAGATTTCTCGCATTTTTTCAGTTAAACCCGAGTCTCGAACTGCCGTTTAAAATTTTTTTTTACTTCACTCAAGTAAACGTTATACTTTTCAATTTAAATCTTTTATCTCTGGATCATCGATCCTATATCGTCAACCAAATGGAAATCTTATCTTTTTAATAATAAATTAAGAATAAAAAATTGTAGCCTCCGTGCAACAAATCACTTTATTTTTTATTCTCCCTTTGCTTTTTTATTTTTATTTTTTTTCATATCTGATTTTACATCCTTTTTCTCAGTGATATTTCCTCAATCTTACATTTTTGGACTCTGCTTAAGAAATTTTGGAAGTGGTCATGCACTCATTGCTGACTGTGGTTTATGCAAATACCAAAGGTATTTGATGTGAAGTTTTTCAAGGATTGTTTAATGACGATTTTTTTAGCTACTGGAAAGGATCTCCAAAAGATTCAGTTTGGGATTTCAAGTGTTAATTATCCAGAGAAACTCATTATTAAACAGCTGGACCACTTAAAATTCATTATCAATTAAATCATATATTTGCTAATTCACTAATTAGAATTTCCATTGAATTCATTATCTGTAATTATGGGAGGGAGCTGGAGTTTCGAATAGTTATGGTGTTTGATTGTTTACCGCCACAACATAAATGATGCAGGCACCTGTCATGTCCTGCTGATTTTGACTTGCATCACCAATATTTGGCCGTTCTAGCGGGAAGATAAGGCAAGCTAGTGTCTGCGAAGGCATAAGCGGTAAGAGTGCTCCGTTTTATTGCAATGTGCCTCTTGATAATTCGAAAAAAAAAAAGGCAGGCGAAGTTGCAAATTTTAAGCTACCAGAAGATCAGGATAGTCTGCAGGATGTATCCAGATGATGATTGGACTCTACAAACCAAGAAGCAAAAGCTTCCACCGTTCCGAAAAAGGAGGTCCACCACCAAACAAAGCGTTTCAATATTCCCATATCAACAGTCGATGGGTAAGGGACTTTGCTTGATGTGGGGTCCCTCCGAACAATTGGACCACCGAGGCACAACATTTGGAAAAGAAAACAAAAATATAAACACCGTTTTGTGTTGGCACAAATAAGAAAAGAAAGAAAAAAACAAGGACCGGGCGCCCAAAAGAAAGAAGATAGACAAAAGGAAAAGTGGTACGAGGTGATTAACGCGTCAACTGAATCCCTTCTCCATAAAAAAGGAGAAGCTTTCCTTTCATTTAATGCACAAAAACAAAGCATAGAAATACAGAGTGTATAGAAAGAATTTTTAGAAAAGGGTTCCGAAAATTGTGGAAAGAGAGAAAAAATAGCTGAGGATTGAACATTTGGGATTGTTTCTCTTTGTTTTTAAACACTTAGGAGTACACTATTTTGTTAATCTCGTTTGCTGTACTACTATTTTTTAGTTAGTAAAAGAATTATCTCGGGAGTTTTTGTCCCTGGTGGACGTTAAGCCCATAAAGTTAAGGCGGAAACCACGTAAATTCTCGGTGTTCTTAATTTTTCATCTGGCAGTTTCACTAGATTATTTAATTAGTTTACGTGTGCATTTGATTATTTCTGGTGGATTCAATACGTCAATATCCAATTAGAAATTATTGGAGGTATTATTGTGTAATAGTAATATTTATTGTTACTTTTACCAACCCGTTATTTCTTCCCGAGCCCACTCGGATCAGTTATAATCCTAACAACTGATATCAGAGCCTTTGTGACGTAAAATCCTGGCAAATTCGTGCAATAGCTGAGAATTTCGTTCATGGTGGAAAGTGAAATTTTAGTCAGATTTCAAGAATTCAGCAGGCTAACAGACGGGCGCTGGCCAATACTCAAATTGGACAGATATCGAACTATTCAATGTGGAAGATCCAGAATGGCAGGACTAGCCAATGATCAAAATTGACAGATTCGAACTTCATTTCAATGTGGAAAATCCAGAATGTGAGGATACCTCAAATTGCAAAAGATCTGTATGAATCAATTCTGAGTGTGACAGTGCAAAGCCGAAGAAAATGAAAGAAAAGGCCAGTGGGAGAAATTAGAAAAAAGCAGACATTGATACAATACGGCCCAATGGATTAGATTGCTAGCCGTGAACAAACCATGTTGAGAACAATGAAAAAGCATCCCTAAGTTCTCTGTGAAGAAATTTAGAGAATATTGTACGAGGCTACGAATGCTCAAGAAAATGTCCTTTTCAGTGTGCATAAAGTCATGAAAATTGAAACTGTTCAGAGGGACGATCAATTACCATGCCAACACACTGAACGAATTTTTGGAAGGACTCGTTAACTGTAACGTTAGCATGTTAGCGGTATGGTTCCTTAGAAGACGAGATGCAAGCTATGCTCTCCTATTTGGACAATCCTCGTCAGCCGTACGAATAGCTGGGATACATCTTGTGGGATCATTTGAGCTACTGCAGCTCCAAAATGGCGTATGTTTATCCGGTTTTGATTAGGTAAAGAATTAGACTACTTAATGAAGAACTACGAAGAAGAGATGTTGCTACGAGTGACCAGTTTTTCACCAAGCCCTTGTCACAGAGAAAAATAAGGGCCGGGCAAGAGTAGAAGGAATCCGGCGTAAAGTCAGGTAGGTAGATCCCAAAGTCTATAGAGAGATGATAGAAAACATGTTTACCATCTGTTAGTAAGGCACGCGTCACCTCAAAAGAAGTTGTCGTTACTCAAACGAGGATTTAATGGCAGTACCGGAAGACAGACGAGAAATGACAGAAATACATCTGCTATAAGTTGTCAGGGAGAGATGGTGAGGGTGACTTTATTCACTCATGATGCAGCGATTGTTGTCATGGTTGGAGATGCAGATTATCGAGTTGGCGATAAGTATGATTCTTTGGGCTTCATATCCAACGTGTCCTGATTCTCCAAAAGAGGGAAATACTTTCTCCACTTGACAAAGGCAAGATACTTTGGCACCCATTAAAATGGAATTAATAGTCGTCTCGCAACGTTGGTGGGAAATCGTTGTCTGATATTTGCATAAAAAGACAAGTGGTCGGAGGCAACATGTAACACGTTTGAAAAAAATGTGAGACATATGTCCCGATCTTCCGCTCCTCTGAAAGTACCCTTTGCGTCTAGGTGAGTTACTGGACAAAGAAGGACTATTCACCCATCATATACGGGCGACACGGAGTAATTGGAAACGCTCACCAAAGGATCCTTTCGTGTTCCCGGGTGGACGCGACTGAAGGAATAAATGTATGTTGCGCTCGCTTTGTCACAAGACGCACGCAATAATATGTGTTTAACACAACCGGATCAACTAATACAGTGTACGAACTGATTGGCTTCACCAAAATTATTGGGCATAGGCGGCTTGGCGCACCCGTAGTGAGAAAGTGGTTGAATATGTTGGGCT